ACCCACCCACCCACCCACCCACCACCCACCCACCCACCCACCCACCCACCCACCCACCCACCCACCCACCCACCCACCCACCCACCCACCCACCCACCCACCCACCCACCCACCCACCCACCCACCCACCCACCCACCCACCCACGCACCCACGCACCCACGCACCCACGCACCCACGCACCCACCCACCCACCCACGCACCCACGCACCCACGCACCCACGCACCCACGCACCCACGCACCCACGCACCCACGCACCCACGCACCCACGCACCCACGCACCCACGCACCCACGCACCCACGCACCCACGCACCCACGCACCCACGCACCCACGCACCCACGCACCTACGCACCCACGCACCCACGCACCCACGCACCCACGCACCCACGCACCCACGTACCCACGCACCCACGCACCCACGCACCCACGCACCCACGCACCCACGCACCCACGCACCCACGCACCCACGCACCCACGCACCCACGCACCCACGCACCCACGCACCCACGCACGCACGCACGAACGAACGAACGAACGAACGAACGAACAAACAAACAAACGCACAAACGAACAAACGCACAAGCGACAAAACCCGCACACACACAACAAACGAGCGCTGCACCACACACACACACAATCGCAAACAAACCAACGCACAACGCATTAATATATTAACAAACAACACACACGCACACAAACACAAACACAAACCAACACACCAACAAACCAACAAGCCAACAAGCCAACAAACCCACAAGTCAACCAGCCAACATACGACTAAATGGAATCAACAAAGTAGCAATGAATATATCAAAACACGCATCAAGCCATGAACCAGGATAGCGCAGGAAAAGTATTTAGTTAATTAAACTAAATATTCAACTGATTTTATCAACCAGTTACTTAGTCAACTAAGTAAGCAAGGAATCAAGAAATCAAGCAACCAATTAACCAATCAAGCAACGAACCAACCAACCAATCAACCAACGAACCAACGAACCAACGAACCAACCAGCCAGCCAGCCAGCCAGCCAGCCAGCCAACCAACCAGCAAACAAGCAAGCAAGCAAGCAAAAACTATCAGACAGACGGAGGCAAGCAAACGAACAGGAGGAGGCCAGTGGCCGTGTTTGTGTACAACACGAACAAGTGCAAACCTGGATATCGCCAGCGATGTCGCACATACTCCACTGAGCTCGCGCTTGGATGAACTGATGCATGCCGGGCTCTCCCAAGCTTGTGGGTACTGCTTGTTCATGCACACATGCCGAACCCTCAACTCAGCCGGGAAATCATGAGCTACTATTCGGCAGCCTGGATGAGATGACGTAGGACCTTCATTCAGTCAGCGTTCTTCCAACAAGCATGGAACTTGTAGGAACTCTGGGCAGCCTGTGTCTGGAAGGCCAATTCAGTCAGACCCGCACTGACGCCGATGCGTTTTCATCCACTGACATAATACCAGATTTGCATGTTGACAAGTAGCCCTGCCGCCCACCAAACCAACTCGGCCCGCTCCAGCCTGTATTACTTTGAAGCATTTTTGTTGATGTCGCTTAGTGTGAGGCATTACTGTCATGATACAGGTCCAATGGTTCATGCTCCATACCATCACCTTGGCTTGCCTTCTGCAAGGCCATTGCCCCACGACTCCCAGCAATCCACAGGATCCTCAGTTTGTTGAGAAGCATTGGCCCTGGCCACATGGGGTTGTCCACGCTAGGGTGTGCTTTTGGCACCCTCGTTAGATCGGGGCCCGAGCCCCGCAACGAGTCGCCCAGTCCCATGCGAGGTCTCCGCAGGCAGCTCCACGGGCGCGGCGGGGCGGCCCTTCCAGGTGGCCTGGAGCTTGGGGTCCGGCAGCAACGTGCAGCTCAGGGAGCAGCTGAAGGTGCGGGGTCTTTCGGAGGCGGTTTTCGGGTGTTCGAATGGAGCATGAAAACAAGTCAGCTGGATTTTTTCGGAGCTCGGCAGCTTGGGGAACAGACCTCCCAAGAGTGGCAAAGTCTGGAGGACATCGTGAGCTCTGCCACAGGGACGCTTGACTTCAGAAGTGCTTAGTGCAGCAGTGCTTCATCGAACTTGCTGAACCTCTGTTTTTTAGCGTTGTTGCGCGGTCCGTGCCTTCCGTGCCTTCCGCAAGCCTGAGGCTGTCTCTGCAGATCTCAGCGCCACAGTTCTATGCCGCAGTGCAGGCGGCCAAGGATAGCTTCTCCTCGGACCCCGTCCAGCTGCCTGGCGAACCAGGCATTCTGGAAGAGCCGGTTTGGAAGTGCCAAGGAACATTCTTTCAGCGACTTGGGGGGCCTGTCCATTCGGAGTTTGAGGTTCTGTGAATGACTGGTCGAAGGGCGGGAGTAGAATTCAGATGACAAAATGGCACTCGCTTAGCTGGGTTCCGAGGCTAGAATTCGTGGTGAGCGTCACGAACTGGCTGGATCAGTCCAAGCAAGCACCCTGGAAGAGCTTATGCCAGGGGAATCTGGAGTTGTCAGACACCCCAAGTTTCCAGAGGTCCATTGCACACAGCGCACAAGCAAAGCCAAAGCCACTAACGTTGCGTGACTTTTTCGGCTAGGGGCTCATGCTCCAAATATCACCACAATTTCGATTTCCTATTTGGGAGACTGAACGGGGACGTGTTGTTTCTGACTTTGTCCCACCCCTATTTATTGTTTTTGTTCTGTGCGTACCCTTTCAGCTGGGAAATCAAAAAGCGGAAGCCACTCACCGTTTTTGGAGCTTCCCTATATATGTTAACCCTCCATTTGGGAGGGGAGTGGGGACTACATGTCCCACCAAAACCAGGGCAGCCAATGTTCCCTTGCCGCCTTGGGGAAACCAATCATTTAGACCGCTCACAGGCGCCGTGTTCAAGTTGGATGAAAGCAAATCCTGAATGAAGCATTTTGGCGCTCCGCCTGTGACACTGCGCACCAGGCTGTTTTGACACATTCGAGGCTTCGGTGTTCGTGAGCCTGGAGAGCTTCACAGAGGAGATGCCCATTCTGAGCCCCGCCTCGGCCACCACCGCGCGGATTCGCAGCCGCCGGGACCCCGGCCCCCGGATCCGGGATGGGGGTTGATTGAAAGGTGCGGTGGTGCAAAGTAACTTCCAACAGCGGACCCCAACTCTGTGGACAGAAAGGTCATGGTTCATGAGATGTCATGAGTGATTGGAGTGGCAGTGGCAGACCTTTTGCCCCAGTCCCTGGCACGCACTCGCCTTCGAGGTGATGAAGTGACGTTTGCGGTTGAGACGGGGTACGCGGCTTGTCACAAAGTGGCGGCAGGCTCTTGGTGGCGTGGAGTTGATGTTGGTGGCTTGGCCTGCCTGAGGCAAATACGTCGGTTTGTACAAATGCAGCCTCTCAAGCCCGGCTTGTCGACATCACCTGGGAGTACCGTACAAGCTCAACAGAATCATGGGCAAGCCTCTCCAGTCTTGATCTGAACCTTGTTCAGCAAAAAGAAGGATGCATGGCCGGATCGCACTTGTTTCTGTGTGTGTGTGCCGGGTGAAAATTCCACCCTTCTAAGGACCAACATGGCCCGACAACCCAGTGCTATCCAATTTGCTGGCTATTCTTTTTCGGCTGGCACCGACCACGAGTTCCGTGCCACGGCGCGATACAGAGGCTCAAGCCCAACGGTGCTGACCTTAGACCCTTGCTTGGCTGCCACTGCGTGGGCACACCGCTTTGACATTTGAGGCCAAAGCGCCAGAGTACATCTTCCGCCTGAATGTCGACCCGGCAGCGCCGCCAGTGGCGCGCGTGGTCGGCCCCACGAGCACCAAGAGCAGTTGTGGCTTCAGCTGCTTGGCTTCGCACTTTCTTGAAGGCTGGCGCAGAGTTGATGGGACGCCTCGGTCAGGCTTGGATGCATCGGGGTCTTACGACCTGTCTGTGCCTCCCGGAGTCGCTGCAAATCTGGCTGCTGGTCTCAATTAGTGAAGTGCCTCTAGTGCCATCTGCCTCATCTGCCTCATCTGCCTCGGGGCCATGTCACGGAGTCAACATTGGAAGAGCTGAGGCCTACGAGTGGTCCTGCGCTGCGGACGGGGCCAACTGCTCGCTCTCGAACTTCGCCTCCAGCGCGACGGATGGCTCCGGCTCCCGGGGCGCGCTGCTGGTGGTGGCAGGCGAGACCCACATGGCCTGCAGTGGGAGCCCTTTTTGTATTTCTCTGTTTCCTCCTACCACGGACATGCTTCAACTTCAAGAGTTTCATGCCAGCCCAATAGACCAGTGCACATGTACACTCGCAGTGCTCAGCATGGCCTGCTTGCGAAGAGTGGCCTATGCTTCGGGGGGGGGGGGGCATTCGTAAGGCTATGTTGATGTTGTGTGAGTGAAGAAGGCAAGACAAACGTGCAACAAGCAAGAAGGCAAACGAAACACATACGTGCGATAGCGCAGTGGCTTGGCCGATCCCAACAGGCTGGGTTTATTTTTACACAGAATCAGTGGGTTCATTGACCAACCACTTTTGGACAATCATGGGAAGCCAGCCGCTTTTGACCTCAGAAGGGTGGGTGGGGGGGGGGGTTCACAAAAGGGTGACTATGCTCGGCCTTTGAGACCTAGCATTTTGGCTTTCATTGTCGCTTTAGCATGTTTCCTGGACCCATGCAATCTCAGCTCCATCCCTGCTTGTGTTGGATTTCCACAGCAAAGCCTGCGCCTATGATTGTAGCGATGTCCGCAAGGCAATCAGCTGGTATCAGGCTTCTACAACTTCAGCGCTCCTTGGCATCCGGACTTTGAGGAAGCGCTCTTGAGGGAGGTGGTTGAGTGGCAGTTTGCATTGGGCAGTTTGGCGCTTGGTTGGCTTAGGTCCGCGTGAGCCGACCTGGAGGTACCGAAGCAGCCACCTCAGTGGGGTGCAAGTTCTACTTTTTCCCTAACAGCTGAAAGCTTTGGGGTCTCAGCCCAGATCGGCTCCGGTGGTTCGGGGCGACCCTGAGCTAAGGTTCCACCAGGGTTCCACCAGAGGTTCCACCAGGGTTCTACCAGGGTTCCACAGAGTTCCACCAAGGTTCCACCAGGGTTCCACCAGGGTTCCACCAGATTTCCACCAGGTTCTGCAAGGGCGGGGTGGTCTGGGGTGGTTTGAGGTAAGGTTCCACGAGGGTTTCACCAGGGTTCCACCAATTTCTTCGAGGGCTGCGGGTTTGAGGAAGGTTTCACGAGGGTTTCGCCAGGGTTCCACCAGAGTTCCAGGCTGCGGGGTGGTTTGAGGTAAGGTTCCACGAGGGTTGCGCCAGGGCTGCAGGGTGGTCCGGGGTGGTTTGAGGTAAGGTTCCACGAGGGTTCCACCAGGGTTCCAGCAATTTCTTCGAGGGCTGGGGTGAAGGTTCCACGAGGGTTCCACCAGATTTCCACCAGAATTCTGCCAGAGTTTCACCAGGTTCTGCGAGGGCTGCATGCAGGGTGGTCCGAGGTCCACCAGGTTTCCACCAGGGTTCCACCAGCCCGCCACCAATTTCTTCGAGGGTGCGGCGTGGTCCGGGGAAGGTTCCACGAGGGTTCCACCAGGGTTTCACCAGGGTTCCACCAGCGCGGGCTGGTTTGAGGTAATGTTCCATGAGAATTCCACCAGAATTCCACCAGGTTTTGCAAGGTAAGGTTCCATTCCCACGAGGTCGGGGTGGTCCGGGGTGGTTTGAGGTAAGGTTGTATGAGGGTTTCAGGGTTCCACAAGATTCTGCGAGGGCTGTGGGCCCTGAGGTTCACAGGGTTCCACAAAGCTCTGCAAGGATTCCACAGTTCCACAAGGCTCCACAATGCTCCATGAAGGGTGTGTCGTGCGCCCGTCGTCTGAAAAGCCATCGGATCAAGATCGCTTTGCTCATGGGCGGAACACTAAGCAAAACCAACATCAATGGTTTTTAGCACACTTTCACTGTTTTGTGACTTGCTCACTTGCTCAGGCAAACGTTGGCTTTGTGGCAAATCAGATCACGTCGCTGCGGAACTCACGGTGCAGCAGAGTAAATGCTTGGCATTGCTGCTTGGTGGGCTTTGGGTTCCAAGAAGTCCACGAGGCTGCGAGGGCTATGAGGTCAGAAGGTTTCCACCAAATTCTGCAAAAGCTATGGGGCAGCCCTGAGGAAAGGTTCCAGCAAAGTTTCACGCTGAGCTCCACGAAAGTTGCGTGAGAACGGTTTGCGAGGTTCGGGGCCCGATTGCACTGTCGGGGCCCCGATTGCACCGTTTGGGCCCGATCGGCCCCGATTGCGCCATCGCGCCCCGATCGGGGCCCGACTCAGTCGGGCCCGGTCAATTGTACCAAGCTGGCATCGCCTAGTTTGCTATAGATACAGTTGCAATCCGCATACTAAGGCGTTGAGCTATAATATGGGTGGCTGGGATTGCACCGTCGGGCCCAAGCTGGCATCGCCTAGTTTTGCTATAGATACAGTTGCAATCCGCATGCTAAGGAAAAACGGCGTTGAGCTACAACATGGGTGGCTGGGGTTGCACCACGGGACGATCGGGGCCCGACGGTGCAATCGGGCCCCGATCGGGCCCCGATCGGGCCCCGATCGGGCCCCGATTGCGCCGTCGGGATCGGCCGTCGGGCCCCGATGCCCAATCGGGGCCCGACTCAGTCGGGCTCCGTCAATTGTACCAAGCTGGCATCGCCTAGTTTTGCTATAGATACAGTTGCAATCCGCATGCTAAGGAAAAACGGCGTTGAGCTATATAATATGGGTGGCTGCGGTTGCACCTCGGGCCCCGATTGCACCGGGCCCCGATCGGGCCCCGATTGCGCCGTCGGGCCCCGATCGGGCCCCGATTGCGCCGTCGGGCCCCGATCAGGGCGAGATCGCGCTGTCACTCGTAGCTTTGCTTTACAAGGCGGCATCCTCAGCAACACCGGCGGTAAGGATGGTCCCAGGGCGTTTCGCGAGGATTCTGGGAGGGTGTGGTGCTGTTGGGGATATCGCCCGAGCTTATTTTTTTTGCTTGTAGAGGCCTCAGCCATCACAGGTGATTGAACAACCTGGGTCTCTTGATGATGCAATTTCGCATGAGTTTCCCACGAAGCACAATCTGCCGGATTGAAGAATGCACAGTTCAAAGAGAATGATTCCATGGAGATGGCCAGATGGTTTCTATCTCTCACTTGGTGTTACGGGCATGCTTGCCTATGCTTGGGACTAGTGTCCTGGCGTAGCGGGTCTGCTGATGAGGCAGTGGGGGCTTGCGTCGACCTGAAGACTTGCTTTCGCGCCGGCGCATGTTTCGCATACCGCGCCGGCAACCATCATCGCACTGAAGTATGAAATGCAGCGGCACAGTCAGGCTGTTATCTCCACCATTTGCAGTGTTGAGAAGGGCTGGGCATGCTCTCGTGCAGCCCAAGCCGCTGGCTCCCAGCGGGTGGGAAGATTTGCACGACTTGACTGGACGAGGTTTGTGGCGAAGTGTTTGCAGTTTCCTTTTTAAATGAGCGAACGGGCCTCACCGAAGATCTTGCTGGAAATGCATTCGCTCATCCTGTTTGGAGGTGTTCATTCCCTCGCCTTTGTGCGTCCGGGGGCGTGCCGGACAGTGATAGAATTCCGCACTTTCGTACGATTCATACCCTGTGAAGCGCCCCCCCCATGTTCAACCCAAAAGTGAAGCCAGGAAATGCCAGGACGTGTTGAGCGTTGCTGAGGCCGGGGTGGCCGAGTGGACGCTGGAGATCTCCGGCTCTGACTCGGCGCTGCCGCCGGTGGCCATCTCCGCACCCTGGGCCAGCGGCGAGGCAATCCCGGGCTCGAGGTTGCGAAGGAGAAGCCTGGAGAACCCGGAAGAAAGCTGAAAACAGGCAATCCATATAGACCATGCAAGCCATGCAAGCCATGCACGCCATGTAAGCCCAAAATGATTGATGCTTGCCCTTCTGCGAGTTGAAGGGCTCGCCGTTGAGAGAGCGAGAGAGCGAGAGGAGAGAGAGGGGAATCACGAACATGGCTTCCCTTTTTCCACAAAGGCCCGTTTCTCGAGCCTTTTGCTGCACGAGCCTCTGCATGTTGTAGATCTATATGAGTAGGCATGGCAATGCGGGTCGTTGAATCCGCCAGGCTGTATCAACGCAGGTGGGTGCTGCCCTGGGGCCTGTCACAGCCGCCGTGCAGACCAGTGGGGCAGGCAATGGGGTGTGGCTTCAGCATGGGTGTGGCGCCTTCGCATTTTGGGCTTCCTAGTTGACTAGAAACCTTCAAGTTCCAACGAATCTCAAGGCGTGCCATTTGGCTCATCGCCTTCAGGTTCTCAAGGTTGAAGCTTGCTCCCACGAGCTATGGTAAGGCTATTTGAGGAATTTGTTGGAGGGTGGCCATTCCCTTCACTAGCTCGCCTTTCAGGTTGCTCCGTGCCAGATGCCTGGGCGTGGAAGTTTGCCCTCGTGGCAGCTCGGACGGGCAAACTAATATGCAGTGTGCATGCTGCATGGGGCACACTTACAATTCACAAGGACCACGGCGTTTTTTGACGTTTGCTCTCAAGCTTGGGCAGCACATTTTGTGCTGCGCCAATGTGTGCCATCCCCTCCCCGAGTCCCTGTCACTTGCGTGAACCACGTTTTGGCAGTCGTGGCCGGGCCAAGCGCCAAGGACGTGCCGGCAGAGCCCACCCCTTCCAACGTGATGAGCTTCTTGAGCACCACCAAGACTGCTGACGGCAGCGGCGGCTTTGTGTTGGCGACTTCCGAGTTCCAGGGCCATCAATTGGTCCCAGGCCAGGTGAATGGGCTGGGGATTTTCCTTTTCTGTTGGCCTGGGGAGAAAGGGAGCGGATTGGAGATTCTCTTGCTGAAGGCCAACGGTACATGTACGCCGTGGTGAAGGCTGACACGGAGACCGACATGCTCTCCTTGCAGCAAATCCCAGGCAACAATCTGGAGAAGATTGTGTCAATGGGCGGGCATGTGGTGATGTCTGTGCCGCCACCTGGCTATGTGTGAGGGTAGTTGTCAGCCGCACGCCGGGCTTTCTGCTCCTTCGAGTTGGCAATGACTTGTGTCAACCTCAGGTTCGTTGCGGATGGCCCACCCTCTGGTGGACTTGTGCAAAGCAACCCGCAGTCGGGCTATGCAGTAACGACAGCCTTCTCGGGGATAACATCCGGCTGGTATGACGAAGAGGCCCGCAGAGCAGTTAGAGCGTGAGGTGCTGTCTGAATGCCACACGGCGGCCACCTGAGGTTGACAGCCTGACGTTTGCATACTACCTCCTCCCCAAAGTCCAAGCGCCAGAGCCACAGAGAGCTTGTTTCTGCGTGAGGCTTGTGTGTGCTGCTCTCAGCCCGCCAAAGTTTGGCCTTGCTTTGGGCTGGCTCAGGGACCTTACGCTGACGGCCGACGGCAGTGGAGGCCAGAGATGTTTGATAGGGAGCTTTATTTAATTGGAAGACGTGGCAAACAGATAAAGCTGAGACTGAATCCTTGTAAGCTGAGGAAAAGCGTGACAGTGTGCTTTAGTGCTTTGCTGGCCGCCAAGGACTTGTTGTCACTGGCACGTTCCAGCCTCCGAGCGTTGCCCCTTGAAGGCACAGGGTATGGAATTTGCGCGAGAGAGTGCGTGACTGGCCCCCGCCCTCGTGTGACTTCGGCTCTGCTGATCTAAGTTCAAGGGAGCCGGGCTTGTTGATGCAGGATTGGCTCCAACTAATGTGAGGTCTGCGGTTGGGAGTGCGTCGCTGTAAGGACTGGCGAAATACCGGCAGCACGAACTACTGGTCTAAGCTGGGCGGGATGTTCTTGGCAAACATCTCGGACCCATCTGCTGCAATATGGGAGGTGCAGGCGGCTTGGCATCGGGTTGCCGATGTTGAGGGGACACATTAGGGCTCCCTTCTAAGAACTCCTTCTAAGAAGGTTCTTTTCCTTTCTTGTTTCCCCACTTTTGATTTTACACCCACCCCCCTTTGCGCCTTAGCCTCCGTCTCAGGTGGCGGCTGGTGAGTACATCATGGCCGTTGTCGCCCGTGACAAACTGGGAGCGGCGTCGGTCTTGCTTTGGTGTATGTTTGTGTGGGCATGTGTCGTGGCTAGCCTTTTGGCTTGCCTTTTGACCGAACTGAACAGGGGCCGAACCACAAGCAAGCAAGCAAGTAAGAATGCAAGCAAGAAAGCAGGCAGGCAAGCAAGCAAGGCAAGCAAGCAAGCAGGCAGGCAAGCAGGCAGGCAAGCAGGCAGACAAGCATGTGTGCTTGTGTGTTTGCGTGTATATATGCATGTGTGGCTGCGTGCCTGTGCCTGTGCCTGTGCCTGCGCCTGTGCCTGTGCCTGTGCCTGTGCAGGCGCGCGCGTGCGCGTGCGCGCGTGTGCGCGTGTGCGCTTGTGCGTGTGTGCCTGTGTGCCTGTGTGTGTGTGTGAGAGTGTGTGTGTGTGTGTGGGTGTGTGCGTGCATGCGTCCATGCGTGCATGCGTGCGTGCGTGGGTGGGTGTGTGGGTGTGGGTGTGGGTGTGGGTGTGGGTGTGGGTGTGGGTGTGGGTGTGGGTGTGTGTGTGTGTGTGTGTGTGTGTGTGTGTGTGTGTGTGTGTGTGTGTGTGTGTGTTTGTGTTTGTGTTTGTGTTTGTGTTTGTGTTTGTGTTTGTGTTTGTGTTTGTGGGTGTGTTTGTGTTTGTGTTTGTGTTTGTGTATGTGTATGTGTATGCGTTTGTGTTTGTGTTTGTGTCTGTGTCTGTGTCTATGTCTGTGTCTGTGTCTGTGTCTGTGTGCGTGCGCGCAGGCGCGCACGCACCCACCCACCCGCGCATGCAGGTACGCACGCAGGCACGCACGCAGGCACGCAGGCAGGCAGGCACGCCCGCACACGCCAGCGCGCGAGCGCGCCTGCCCGCCTGCACGCACGCTCGCCCGCAGGCATGCACGCCCACCTGCCCCCCTGCCCGCCCGCCAGCCCACACACGGACACACCAACAGACATGCGTGCTTCTTCCTTTGCTGGTTCTCTCAAACTTTGCTTGTCAGGGGCATCTTGGGAACGAACCCAAATTCATGACCCAATCATTCTTTGCACCAGTTCTTCAGTGGCCCACAAGGTTCCGTCCAGTGGAACATTCCCAGACAAGTGAGTCATAGTGAGTCATCCGCGCAGGAGCCATATCCGCTGCGTTCGCACCGGGGCCGTTGGTGCAGGCGCCTCCAGGAGACCCGAGCCATGCGAGACGCGTCACTTGGTGTGGCTTTTTCTGAAGCAGCCAGCATTGTAGATTAGGATTTCCGGGTCATAGTTTGGAAGTTCTTCGGTTCTCAGGAGCCGAATTGCGATTTAACCATGTGAGTTGGCCCAGAACGCCCAGAACAGTCACGCTGTGGCCTATGTGCTCTCTTTTGTAACGAGTCCAAAGGGGCCTTCACATGAGCAACGTCAGTGTTTACCAAGGTTTGTTGTTGTTCTTTTTTTTTTTTTGGGGGGGGGGGGACCCGTTGAGAGAGCAACACCTTCACGGGTGCAAGGTGGTGGAAGCTGATGTTGAGGGAACCTGGCGCGGAAGCATTGCACGCAAATTATTGTTCAATCATCATTTGTTCCTCTCCATGTGCTTCTTGGTGCTTCGCGTGCTGCACTTGTGAACAGCGACTGTTGAGCTGGGGCTGCCAACCAATACTTCATGTAGGAAACACTGTCGCGCAAGCCGCCATCCAGTGATGGCTCGCGGTGTTCCAGGTGTAAGCGCTGCGCAAGACATGGGCTGCCTAAGATGAGTGATGCGACATAACGAATCCTGACACGTTTTGCACAGGGCTCACATGCATGTGTCTCAAACCAGGGGGAGGACAAAACCAGGTTGTCCCTTCAGGAAAACTAACCAGCAAGCGGCCTTCTGATTTTGAAACAGGCCCGCAGTGAGCCAACCTCAGGAGGAATCAGCCCCGACCTGGCCCTAGCCTCGCTGGATAACGCGCTGTCCAGCAACAACGACGCGGTGTTGTTGGGCGCGCTGAACTCTTTGTCATCAGTGGCTCTTGCCGCTCGGTTTGCCAAAAAGGCAACAGGTGGGTTTTTGGAGGGTTCGTATGTTGACCCCTGGGCAGCCCAAATAATGGGGGGGGGGTCCTCCCAAAAGTGAAGGATTGGCATTTGAATGGGACAAAACCAATTTTCTCTTGGGTGGGGTTCTGTTGCTGATGTTGTGCACTCGGGTCATTAACGCCAGCTTAGTCAGGGTGGTTCCCCTGCCAGTGGGGAATTAGAGCATTTGATGGGAACCCATTTCATAGGTCTTGATAGGTATTGTTGTGCAGACGAGTCTGAAGAGAATAGCAAGTTGACCCTAACAAAGTCTCCAGTGCAATAGCTTTGGCGCAATTAGGGATTTGTGCACCCCGTGGTTTCCAGCCCAAAATGTGGGCCGTGGAAGCCTTCCGGAGCAAGAGCCACAAGCACAATCATTGCATACCCGTAATGGACTAGCCTCGGCAGATCTGGCTTGCTGACAGTAGTGTTGTAGGGAACCCCCGCACGCAATCACGCCTGACAGGAATGTTGAAGACTATTCCGCAAGGCCCAACGCTTTTGTTGATGGACTTGGAAGGCAATGCCATGGGCAAGATTGTCCAGTTGCCATCTCTGAGCTTTGCGGCGGCGTTCCTTGCATAACTCCCCTGTGGCCGAGGCTGACGCCGACCCCGCGAAGTTGAAAGAAGCCACGGACAAGAAAATGGAGGCCGATGCGACAAGTGACCGACCTGTGACCTTGAATTGCGCGTTCAGGCACTGGGCTCCGCTGCGGGCGTGGTCTCAACCTCTTCGGAGAGTGGCTCGGTGCATGGGCGCCATCTTTGGCCTTGCACGCGGCGTTAACCGCGCATTTGACATTGCTCCGCCAAGCGCCGATGCACGTGGTGTTTCTCTGTCGCTTGTGCGGGAGCATTGAGGTCTCGCCAAGTTTGGCGACGTCGCCGCAAATGTCCTGCAGAGTGAATCCACGGGCGGCGTTGCCAGCGTCGAGGTTGCAGAGTTGGCCTCTCAGGCACTGGACACGGCAATGGAGGCAGCCTGGCAGTGACCAGTTCCAACGCTTGCGTTTGGTCCTAGGGGCCCGCCTGGTGCCATGTCAGTCGAACAGCGCCATGGAACCACGCGAACGAGTTGACAGTTGTCACGCGGGATTGCTGGGAGGATGTCATCACCCCTGGTTGCTCCTTTGAGCGTTCCTGTAATGACCCGGGCCGGGAGTAGTTCGGACTCAGCAATTGGGACTGCCGGGGCTCCAGCCAAAGTTTTACATCTCCATGTCTTACGTTCATTGTTTTGCTCACAAAAGCTGAGGCAGCCCTGTCGTCGTCAGGCAGGGCGGTGCTTTGCTTGTCGAGGGCGCAAGGCATGGTGTGACAGGGACGTGCCGCGAGGAACATCCAGCTTGCATAAAGATTACAGCTGAGTTTCTGCGAGCGGAACTTTCGGTTTGATGTCTTTGATTTCTTGGCGCCTCCGCTTCTGACTTAAACTTATTCATGTGTTTTCGCTTGCTTGGCGAGTCCTAGAGCCTCCGTTTGTTTGAATATTTCATTGTATTTCATTGTATTTTTTGGTTCTCGGTAGGCGTAGACGAGTCCGCGGGCACCTCGCTGCTGCGGGCCGCCACCTCGGTGAGCAGCTCCTTCGCGGCGGGCGGGGGCAGCAGCACGCAGCAGGGGGCCACGGCGGCCAAGTCGCGGGCGACTTGCCCGGCCGAAACCGGCTCGAAGGTTCGTGGCCGGGGGAGAGGAGGGGAGGGAGGGGGATGGGCAATGGGGGAGTTGAGTTCGCACATTATGTTTTTCTTCATCTCCCCGAAATCAACTAATTCTTTGAAGGGCTTCCCAAGCCGAATGGGCAGGGTCCTCCAGATCATTCCAAGTTGGCAGTACCTTACTGGAACATTGTTTTCAGGTAGTGATGAGCTACCCCCCCCAAAGCTACCCCCCGCAAAAGAATAAGGGCTAGACGCTCCTTCTCAACTGACTGAGGTTTCAGGAATCATGAGAGAGTGAGATGACACGTGTTCCGGGCACGCGCCGCACAGGCTTCAGGGTTTCTTTTCGGTCCCTGTTTCAGCACTTCTTTGGGGCTCCTGTAAATCGTGCTATTTTTTTTGGGGGGGGAGCTCCAGAATTGTGCAAATAGCGCAATTTTGAAGCTCCCCCCCCAAAAAAAAAAAGGCTTGACCACGCACCCCGGGACCCTCTTTTGGGACCGCGCCTGCTCTCGCCCCTTTTGAAAAGAGGGGGCCTCTAAATGGCGCTACACATGCAGAAGAGTTGCGGTGTGACCATGGCCTTTAGGCTGCCGAAATGGCAGGGCTTGTTTGGGCTTTATTAAGCCTTATTAAGCCTTATTAAGCCTTATGAAGCCACATTCGATAACCAGTAAATAAGGCTTATTAAGGCTTAATAAGGCTTAATAAGGCTTAATAAGGCTTAATAAGGCTTATTAAGGCTTAATAAGGCTTATTCCCCTTCACCGTGCTTGGCTGCGCAGGGTTGGTGCTTATTCATTTGGGGGGGGTGGCTTTGGGGGGGGTAGCTGCTCTCTTCCTGATGTTTGGGTTCCCCCGGAAACATGTTGCATTTCGACAGAAGCTGAGAATGTCAGTGGCAGGCAAAAATAGGGGATGGGGAAGGGGGCTGGACAGGGGCGCGCGCTGTGTAGTTTTTCCAATTCTTGGCTTGGAGGCTTTGGGTGGGCAAAAGCTTTTTGCATGGAACGAAGTGGGCAGGGCGAGCGCTGCGTTCTTGGCTTGCACTGGGGGGTTTCGGTTGAGGTTTGTGAAAATTGCCGGGAGTCTACAGTCCTTTTGGGAGGCACGTGGGGTCACTAACTCCCCCCCCCCCACAATCCAGGGGACTCGCAATTTCCTCATTTCCACTCGGAACGAGTAAGTTTGATCATGCCTCCTTGTCCAAGGCACTGTTCTCAAAGCTGGGAAATGCCCTGCTGCAGCAGTTGCCGGTTGGCACGTCTACAGCGATCTCTTCGGTCCAGGACGGCAAGGGGACAGCAGCTCGCCAG